ATAAAACAAAAAGTGACAGTTTTTCCTTGGAGAAACCAAACAAAATCAAACTCTACAGAAGCCAGTAAGACAACACAGAGAAAAATGTTTTGTTTCCACTAGTTCGATCACCCAGAAGAAATCACTAGTCACATCACAAGGAATACCTTCCCATTTTACTTACAGTAAATGTAGGTTTGGGATACTAACTTAGGTTTAGTTCTACCTCGTGCTATGCCCACAACATGTGACAGATCAAGTCACTATTTTTTTTTTTTTTGTCTTTTTCCTTTTTATCGGTACCGGGGATCGAACTCACGACTGCCTGCTTTACAAGGCAGGCGCTTATGCCGCTGAGCTAAATCCCCAGCCCCCAAGTCACTATTATTTTTACACGTAGAAAAATTTAGGTCACATTGTGTACATACCTGAAATTCTATAAAATGAATTTCTGGATTTCAGATATGGGGAATGCTTTTCCTCAAGGTTGAAACTCTTTCGTTCCCATTAAATATATTAAAATATACTAAAGACTCTCAAAGGCTTCAAAAAGACACCCCAATTAATATATCAGTTATACTGCATTGTTGAAGTGGTGTAAGTGAAGTAATAAGTAGTTGAAAATATGGCTTGTCTGTGAGGCTTGTCAGAACTCACTAAACATACAATTTTCATTTCATAGTGTTATTTTTTTCAGTCCCCCAAGCATACAGAACAGCTGCATTTTGATCCACTCGGGAATGTGTCCTTGAATAGTTACAAGAAAAAGGGAAGAGTGTGAGGTGCATGTGTGTGGATGGTTGCACTTACATACATGACACACATACATATGGAAATATCACACTCACCCCACTAATTGTACAACCAATAAATACTGATAGAATTATTTTTAAAAACAACAAAAAAATGTTTTCCAGCAGAACTAAGAAAAAGAACCAAAAGCTGTAGGTCTGACTTTACTGTAACTGATTATTACTATATGAACTACTCTGTGTATGTATTGTTGATGCATGACAACCTGTAGAAGCGAGTGGTTTTGAAGCCACCTCTGAAACACTGCATCCTCAGGCTGGGAGAGTAAACACTATTCTCAAAAGTCAGGCTAGGCTAGCACAGCTTTCCTTACCACAGCCTGCCTTGGAGCCTCCTAGCTGTGCTTTTATCTTGCTTATTCCTCTCTTACTTGGCCCCGTCTTGCTCTGCGGACCAACTTTCTCACACTCTTCACTTTTTCAAATATGCTTTACCACTGCTTAATTTGAAAAAAGGTCAATATTAAAAACTGACACCCAGAGCTGGGTGTGGTGGGGTACACTTGTAATATCAGCTACATGGGAGGCCAAGGGCAAAGGATCACTTGAATCCAGAACAGCACCAAGTTGGAGATCAGCCTGGGCAACACAGCAAGACACCTTTATCAATAAAGGAAGAAGGGAGGGAGGGATTGAGGCAGGGAGAGAGAAATGCAGGAAGGAAGGAGAAAAAAAATAGAAAGAAAAAAGATAAGACCAGACCACAATAAAACACGTATAAAGGATATCTAAACCAAATTATTATGATTCATTGGTTTCTCAAAGTTAATAAGATATAGTAAGTAAGTTGAGGTGTATATATTTAAAGATTGAAGGTAATTTTAATTTTCACTGTAAATTTCTGTGGCATTTAAGAAATTTTTTGGGAACTGAGAGGATCAAAACTATAGCTCTCAGGTAAGAGTGGTGACACAAGCCTGTAATCACAGTGACTGGAAGGCTGAGGCAGGAGAATCAATCACCATGAGTTTGAGGCCTGCCTGGACTACATGAGACCCTGTCTGAAAAACCAAAGGGCAACCCTACCCAAAAAAAAACATCCAACTTTCTACCACCAACAAAAAAAGAATATATTTGTGGTTTTGTTACTTTTTTATCTATGGCTTCATAATTTTAAAAATACTTAAATTGTATAGGTTCCAAAGGTTTATTTACTATTGGTTCTGAAGACATTAACATGTGATGAAGGGAAATTACAGAACTGTGAACGGTGGCATGTTCCTCTAATTCCCCACATTTGGAAAACTGAGGCAGGACTGCAGCTAGTACAAGGCCAGCCTGGATTATTTAGGAAGTCTAAGGACAGCCTAAACTACATACCGAGATCCTTACTTTAAAAAAAAAAAAAGGCAAAAAGATGGCAGTATAACTTCTCTCTTTTTTTTGTATATTTATCAGTTCAAAACAAAATGAAATATGGCACTAAAAAATGTTACAACATATTACTTCACATCTAATCCTGGGCACTATTTTTGAGGTTATCAGTGCATATACATGAAAAAAATTTTATTTACTTATTTATTTATTTTTAAAAAGTCTTTTTCCTTTTGACCGGTACCGGGGATCGAACTAACGACTGCCTGCTTGCAAGGCAGGTGCTTATGCCCCTGAGCTAAATCCCCAGCCCCATGGAAGTGAGTTTTTAATACATACCAAGTTTCTTACGTACTGGACTGTGTTCAAATGAGTAAGACACAGTCCTACTTCCCAAAGAATATGTTATTATTATTATTATTATTTTATCTTTTTCCTTTTTATTGGTACTGGGGATTGAACTCACGACTGCCTGCTTGCAAGGCAGGTGCTTATGCCACTGAGCTAAATCCCCAGTCCCGAATATGTTATTATTGAAGATTATTAGATACAGTTAAGTCTGCCTAATATTTTAAGAAAATCTGTGTGCTGCAGAAGTGGAGTACTAGCTCCTTACTTAGTATAATGGAAGTACTTTTTGATCTTAATCTGAATGCTTCCACTAACTAGCATGTTACTTCGTGCTATAGTTTTCCAGGAATGGTGGGATAATGTGTTTGAAGTAAGGGAATGATTTTGAGGGGATTAGTAGCAAAACTCACTTCCATGGGGCTGGGGATTTAGCTCAGCGGCATAAGCGCCTGCCTTGCAAGCAGACAGTTGTGAGTTCGATCCCCGGTACTGATAAAAAGGAAAAAGACCCCCCCGCAAAAAAAAGAAAGAAAAAAAAAATGAGTAGGAATATGATGTTGGTGCCATCTTGTTTTGCAAATATTTCAGTTCGGAGACATGATTTTTATTTTTTACTTGTATTCTCTATTAGTGTGTTTAAAACATTTGTCTTCATTAGCTTCTCTTTATTTTGAAACTACCACACCAGTAGGTGAGTAACTGAAAGGAAACCATTAAGGAATAAATTATTTTTCTTAGGAGAACATTTACCGCAACACCACCTAAATCATAGTTCTTTTTCGAAGGTTTACTCACAGCCTTAGGTTATCTCTCTACTAAGGAAGAAGGTTCTTAACACTGCCATTGTACTATGAATATTGATGCCAATGGAAACCAGTGTGTTGAGGAAGCAGGTGACTTGCATACACCTTGCACACAAATTTCTCCCTGTCCCAACTACTACGCATTGTTTGCGTTCTGCTCTAGCTTACTCACTATACTGAGCTCGGAGGCATTCTAGAGTGCCAAGGGAACAAACACCTCCATGGACACTGATTGTAAAGTAGCCCTCAAGAAATGAGCTGGGTAAGAAAGTATTCTGTATCTTGAATCAGGGATCAGGTTTCTGACTTTCCACATTTCCCTTCGATACACAGGTAAAACATAAGTGGGAGGATATTGGTGAACAAAACTGGTGTTCTATTATCAACCGTGGGGATGTACACATTTGCAGTGTGCTCCCAATCTACATATGTAGATTAACTTGCTAAGTATGCAGAAAACAAATTAAACGACCAAGGCAAAAGTTGCAAAAGACAGGATACGTTTTACAAACCAAACTTCCAGTATCGCTAGAGGCAAATGACTCAAGAATTAGCTGATAAACATCACCTAACTTCTGGCTAATCTTACTAAAATTTCCCATTATAAATTGATAAAAAATTAAAACTCGGAGGTCAGTTCTTAAGATCCTAGGTCAGTGGTGGTGCACTATGGCACACGTGCCACAAGAGAATGTTTGTAGCACTGAAAGCCCTAAAAGGTTCTTGGTCATCACTGCCATAGGTGACGCTATGGTAAAACAATTTCAATTAGGAATATAAAACATTCAAATATTAGTAACTTTATAAAGACTTAAGATAAGGTGAATTGTTTAACAGTAAAAGTGGGAAAACATTAAACTTGTGATTTAATTAAGTGGGCACTTTTATTTTGCAAAAAAGTGGTATATGCCTGTAATCCCAGCACTCTTGGAAAATGAGGCAGGAGAATCACAAGTATGAATGTATGGTAGCTTTGACACTTTGCTGACTTTGTGAGACCCTATCTCAAAACAAAAAGTAAAAACTGGCCTAAGGATGTAGCCCAGTGCCAAAGTCCTGGGTTCAATCCTCAACATACCAAATAAAATACTGTAGTTATAAATCTTTGATAAACTCTGATTGTTTTCCTAGATCTAAGATTTAAAAGAAGTATTACATAGAGGGGAGCTCCTTTATAGACTGAATGGGTTTTTCAAATTTGAGAAGACAAGCCAGGCATAGTGGCGCACGCCTATGACCCCAGCACTCAGGAAGCTGAGGCAGAAGGATTGCCGAGAGCTCAAGACCACCCTTGATCACAGAGAAGGTTCAAGGCCAGCCTGGACTACATGGCAAAACTCTGTCTCAAAACATAAAAACTAAAAAATTGAGAAGACAGGATTAGGTACTATGGACCATACTAGTTTAGGTTAGTTTTCAGCCCCAAAGGAACAAAATTAATCACTGAGGAAATAACTCATATGTACGAAGTATAAACAAAACGACCCAACACGTACAGAGACATATACCTTGGAGGCATTTAGTATATTTGGAAATTCTCATTTGCATTTTTAGACAATGGAGTAACTCTTTTTGCAGGCTGTACTAAAACACAAACACACCACTGAAGAAACCAGACTAGGAATTTCAGCATTCATTCGATGTTTCTGGAAGTCAAGGAAAGTAGCCAATTAAAAAATAACACAAACACTGTCTCTTCTTGTTCAGCAAGCATAGAATTCTTAATGGCAGAATAGCTTACCTGAGACAGGACTCTTTCTTGAACTTAAATTCTGAGAATCCATAATTTCTTCTGTTTGTCCATCTGTTTCTATCTCAGTTTTGTTTTGAATCTCTTTTGTATCTTCACTAAGGCAAGTTCTTAGGCTCTCTTCCTCTTCCAAGGCTCTCTGGACTACAGAGGGAGCACTCAGAATATTAACAGTAGTGGTGGCAGCAACAATGACTGAAGTGGGAGGAGAAGCTGGAGGAGTTGGAGGAGCTGGAGAAAAGGAAGAAACTGTGGAAGGGGTGATGGGAAGTGGAACCCGCTCCACTTTCATTTCTTCTGGGGGGTTTTCCAGAATTTCCAATTCAAGAGTCAACGGTAACACCTCATGTTTTACCATTTCCACAATGCTTTCTGTGGCTGGAGACTTTTCACTAACTCCATTCATTTCATTAATTAGGTTAGTACTAGAAATCAGTGGAATATCATTAGGTGCTACACTACAGGGTTTCTTGCATATATCATCATCAATTTCAACTGTTGGTGAAGGGTTTGATGTTTCTAGGCAAGATTTGGGGTTGGGTATAGGAACTATATCTTCTTTTGAGGAAGAGAGTTCATGTCTGTCGTCTACAGCAGCAGTGAATATTGGTTGACTAATAAGAGTAGCAGAGGTGGGGGAAGCAACCGTACTTCGAACAACTGGAGAAACTGTGGTAGGAGACGGAGGCAGAGGAAACTCTGGGATGGATTCTACTGTAGCAGTCTCAGAGGTCTGGCCTGCTTGTTCCTTCTTCTCCCCACTGAAGACTAGCCTAAGGACTGGGGAAGGAGACTTTAACACTGGATCTGGTTTTGGCTTCTCTTCTGGAGAAGAAAAAAGAAGAGACAGGAGTTTTACAAATAATTCTTGGACCAAACACTCTACTGTATTGCCTTAGGTCAATTGTTTTAATCTCTTACCCTACAAAATGGGCAGTAGAAAAGAGAACAAAATACTAGATTTATTCTGATACTGCAGGAATATTTTCATGTATCATTATTTCTAGTTACACGTAACTATTACTATTATTGGTCTTTAATAAAGTAAAATAAAAGTTTATTTTGTGTAAATAGTGTGCGCTAACTGAATGTGCCACTGGAGCTCCTGAAAGTTTATTTTCGAATTAAAGAATCAACTCACCAAATGATTATAAGAACATAACACAAAAGTTCATCAAAACTAGAGCCAAGGGCCCAGGGACATTGCTCAGTGGTACAGCACCCACCTGGCAAGTGCAAGGTCCTGAGATCTTGTATCAAAAACAAAACAAAACAACAACAACAAAAACCCCTACAGCTAATTTGTTCTTTAGGTTAGGATAACCATCACTACTACTGTGTTTGTTCCCTATGGTAAATTTTTCCTACCAAGGATACATTAGTCTATGTATTTTGGCACTTGGGAGAATTTGTCTATAAAAAAATTGTATGACATATTAAAAAAACTTTAGTGAAACTTATTTCTTTAACATAAAAAATAGTTTTGATAGAATAAAACCAAAGGAAATTTAGACTGCTTCCAGCCTGGTGCTTCCTTAGCAAGATAAGAAGGTTCACTGGAAAATAGATACTTACATGGGGATGTTTACCAATTGTCAACAAAAATTGTTGGCACTACTGAAATACTTTCTAAACTGAGACATTCCTCCAGTATTCTTTATGTATCAGTGAAAGTGAATCTTTACAACAAATTATAGTTAAATAAGTTTGTTAAAGAGTATGTTCTGTTAACCAAATAAAGACAGTAAACATTATCACTAAGTTGTTAAAGATTAGTTTCGTCACTTCTACTGTACTTACTATCCTTTGAATTCTTTTAATTAATGGTAGAAATAAGATGAATAGGCTTTCATTATAGAATCTCTTAGACTAAATGGCTAAGGTAAGGGACAAAAATATGCCATTTTTTTGTGTGTGTCTATCTTCTACATGAAGCACATTCATGTAACACCTGCTTATTTAACCATATCTAATGAAGATAATTTCCAAATCACTGAAATTATGTCCATACAGGTCACCCAGATTATACAATACCATTGTGAATATGTATCAAAATAATACCATTCATGATCACTGACTGGAACCTATATATAATAAATTTAAAGCTAAACTGAAGAAAACAATGATTCTCACATTAACAACCTACTAAGAATATCAATTCAGCAATAAATTTTGGGAAACAAAATTTGAGAGTTAAAAATAAAAGATCTACAAGTGATAAAATTTCTACATACTCGAGAAAAATGTAGTACTAAAAAATTAGAAACAAATTTCATTTTGAGATTCTCTAAGTCTTTTAACTCTTTTTATAAAGCATTACATATATACAACAGATGAGTAGAACACAATAGATCTAAATAAAAAACATTTATTCTACCCCTCAAATGTCTTTTTTATTAACAGTTCAGCCAACTTTAGGAAATTTGTAGGACTTCATGCATAAGTATTTTTCCTACGGAAACAATCATGTATCAAAAACAGAGGTCTAAAATATGTTCAGCAATCATACAGTGGGAGTGGAGGAAGGAATAAAGCCCATGTCTAACAAAAAATTTATTAAATAAATAGCGGCATACTGTTCAATATTTAAAACAAGGTTTTAAAAATGTTCAAAGGATACAGCTTTTTTCCAAGTATGGCCCAAAACTGTTCCCATTTTTCAGATTGGAAAACTGAAGGTGGTAGAGATTAGTTACGGAGGCCAGGTCACATAACTAGCAAATGTACAAGTATGAGAATGCTTTCAAACCCTACATTCTTCTATGAAAATAAAAAGTATTTAGTGAATCAGCAGTCAGATGACTATGGAGCTGCCATCATATTCTGTTGCCTAATCACATCTTCAGTAATGACATTTCCATTGAGAAAGAAAAAATTTGACTGCAAAATGAAGAGGCTACTATATTTTTTAACAGAAATCACTGAAAACAGTGAATGTACTTATCTTTCATCAATTTTATAATATTTTTTAAAATAAAAATTTAAAAAAGTATTCAGTAAAAACATTTCTAAAATGTAATGAGCACTTCTTAATGAGTACCTAAATTACATAAATTGGGGTTTTAAAAAAAAAACTACTGAGGGCTGAGGTGTATCTCAGTGGTACAGTCCTTGCCTAGCATGTTAGAGGCCCTGGGTTCCATTCAGCTCTGGGTAGACGGATGAATGGATGAACGATTGTGAAAACTATTTTACATATTGGCAGGTTATCAGCAGAATTATAGAACAGTTTTTCAGTTTCAGATGAACAGTTCAGTTCACATGAACAGACAATGAGTAGCCCCAAAGAATTATCTACCTATAAAGCTCTAAAATCTGTATTTGAAACACTAGGTTTTCATTTTAAGGTAATATGAAATATTTTCCAATTCGCCCTTATCTAAGTAATGTATTAGCTGGAGATGTTGATTTTTGTTATTCAAATTTCCATTGATCAAAAAGAAAAAAAGTACTGAAAACCTAAAAATTTTCCATTTCTTCTTTTGGTAATCTAGACTTGATATGACAAAGTAAGGATCTTAAAACTATACATCTTGATGTTGTTTTTCATAAAATAGCTACAACAGGTAATAATTCTGTGTTTAGCCGTATAAGAACTACCACAATCAGACTGTATTATGACCATTAAAAAAAAAGTCGTAGCACAGTTATGAAGCAAACAAGCAAAGATAATATTGGGGGGTAGAAAAAAAGTCTTTCCCAACACCTGAAACTGTACTTCGCACAAGGTAAATGTCTTTAATATTTAAAAGATAATTTTAAGCTTTATGAGTCCTCCTTTAACTCCAAACGCAGCTGAAAGAAGAATGTAACAATGCAACTTTTAGAAGCATGTCAGGTTACAATTCATTTCCTATATTTTAGTTTAAAACTATCTTACATAACAAATACAATATAAAACTTCATCCTGTTATAGATTTGTTTCTTGTGTTTTGTTTTTGCTTTTTTGACACAGAGTCTCACTATGTATTTCTATGTACTGAACTCACTACATAGCACAGGCTGAGCTTGAATTCACCTAGATCCTCCTGCTCGTTTTCCCAAGTGCTACAATTACAGTCATCTGCCACTACACTTGGCAAGTTTTTTTAAACCTGGCTTTTAATACTCACAGGAAAAATTAACTTTCTGTTTTAAAAGTATCATGTCATGTTTGATTGCATGTTTCAGACAGTCTCACTACTTAGTTCAAACTGGCCTTGAACTCCTGGAGATCTTCTTGCCTCACCTCCTAAGGGCTGGGATTACAGGCCTGCGCCACCATGCCTAGCTCATATCATCTTTGTATGATGTAAAAAAAATTGAAATCATATATTCACCATTCAGAATGCTTGTAAGAGTGATCAATATGTAGTCTACTTCAATGTCTTTAATATTAAATACTTTTTTTTGGTCTTTTTCTTTTTTATCGGTACCAGGGATCAAACTCACGACCCCACACTTGCAAAGCAAGCGCTTATGCCGCTGAGCTAAATTCTCAGCGCCAATACTTTCACTTTTATGTGGCATTTCTAATTGTCCCTGGTAATCAGGAATGAAACCAGGGCCTTCACACTAAACTATATCCACAGGTCTTATTTATTATTATTATTACTATTTATTATTTTTCAGACAGGGTCTCACTAAAAGATTGGTATACTGCTACTTTGAGCTAGAATTTATGACCCTCTGTAGACCTGGTATTATTACGGGATAAACCACAATGCCCAGCATTATTTTTTTTAAATTGTGAGAAAGTACACCTACTCACAGCTAGCTATATACTAATAAAGGATTTGTAGGAATGTGTAATTCAAGAAATCAAATAACATACAAAGTCAACCAAAAACTGCATACACATTTTAAGGGGGAAAAAAGTATGATGGTTTTCAACAGATGGTATTTACCTCAAGTAGGGGACCATAGAGAATGCAATATATTGCAGAAAGCCCACTACACGGTCTAGCCCTTTGAGAAAATACTGAAAATGCATGTTCAGTAATCTCAATGACCAAGGTTATCCAAGCAGCATTTTGCTATAATAATAAATATGTGGAATCTAACAGTCACCACTTTGAATACCTGTTTTAATTGTATAGGGCATGTATTAATTTGAATAAATTTACTATTAAAATATTTAGACAAGGTTTTCTTCTCCTGAAGTGTGTATAAATTTTTTTCACACTCTACATTTACACGATTTGTATTTATTTTCAGAGCACAGACAGAAAAACTAGAAAGCATGCTCAGTTACTTGTTTTACCTGCCCCAATGAGGTCAAGCTAAAATCCAAAGAGGTAGAAAAGAAAGGCTGCGATATGCCACTTTCTAGCATGACATTTGCCTTAAAGTTTTTCTATTTATATCCCAAAACGCATTATATTTATTTCAATCAACACTGGACACTTGAGGTTGAAGGTCAAAAGGAGAAGGCATTAAAATTATTATTGTACCAAATGATAATTATAGTTTTTCATATGCTCCATATGTCTTGAAAATAATATTGCAAAATAGGTCTTCACTCAATTTTTTTTTCAATTCTTATTTTTATTTATTTTTTTTAATCGTACCAGTGATTGAATTCAGGACCGCCTGCTTGCAAGGCAGGTGCTTATGCCACTGAGCTAAATCCCCAGCCCCTTCACTCAATTTTATAAATGAATAAATTAGGATATATAAATTGTCCTCACTCAATACGAAACACCTAGTACATATTGGAGCCTTAATCTGAACTCAAGGCTTTCTCAGAAGCTATAGAAGCCAATCTTATAAGAAAAAACATTTTATCTTTTATAAAAATACCAACATACACAATACATACTGAATGTATAAATTAATCTATATTGTTTTTGTAAAACAATATGTCATTCCCTCCCCCATTTTTTTTTTTAATTTAAAGCAACTTGTGTTTTATCTATACATACATGTTGACAGGGAAGTATTAACACAATGTAGGAAACTTTTAACTAATCATTCAAAGTTTAGTTTCATAGATGCAGAATGTCTTCTGTTTCAAAACTTGTTTAAAAGTAGTATCTAAATAATAGATGTTTTGCTCTTGTTCTTAATGCTTGAGGGCAATGTAATTAATAAAAAGAGATTAAAGAGGGAGGAAAATAGTTGCATACAAACCTGGTTTCTGGTCGCTAGCTGCAGTGACCGCAGTGCTGGCAGCAAGATGAGCATTCTCCACAGTCCCATACGCTACAGGGCCATGCTCAGGGACCTGGCTGGGCAGCTGCTGGGATTTAAAGTACAAAAAGGGTGATAATGAGCGTGCGAACACAAAAACTAGCAACATGGAACCTAAATAAGGGTGTAAGACAGAGAAAGGGAGAAGGTCACAAAATTAAACGAAAAGCAAGGAAAAAATACATAGGTCACTTTAATATATTCAAACAGTACAGGAGAAGACAGGGAAAAGAAGGAAATAGGAAGCAAAAAAGGAGAAGGAAAAGAAGATAATTACTATTAACCAAAGCAGAAGACAGCACAATTAGTACATTTCATTCTCCAGTGTTCCTTCTAAGGCAAGCTGACTTTTCAACTTAATAATAAATATCACACTAAGAGGGACTTAACATCTTTCCAAAGACAAAGGGGTCTGATCAAGTTCACATCTGAACTATCTGGGCAAAGGAGTTCATCAGCCAAAAGTAGAACAAACAAGTTATGAAGGATTTAAAAAATAGCTACCAATTTAAGAAAACAACATGGAAGGCTTGTAATTTTGTTAAATGCCCTTGTTGTGATCATACAGAACTGTCTTGAGATTCTGTGTCAAGAAATAAAATCAGAAACCGAATTCTCAGAATTGAAGAAACTCGTTTTTAGCCATTGCATTGAGTGAAAAATACCCAAGAAAATCCAATCAAGAAGGTTGACAACATTGCAGCCATTGTGCAACTTAGAGGGAATGTTTTACATGGGAAAGGACAGGAACACGTGTTCTACATCACATTCCATGGAGGTATGTGTTTTGGATTTGAGGTTACACAAAAGGCATATGATGAAACAGTGTCTTTTAAGGTCAATGTTTTGTTATTGGAACAGAGTTCTCAGCACAATTTTGTGAGATTATCTGGGGGTAAAATGGGGGAGATGAAGATGTCGTTCAGGGTGGATAGGGTTATTTAGGTTAGTAAAAACTATGGTAAAGTCCATAGTCTCAATTCTTAAGGAGAGAATATAAGTGAAACGGACCTATCATTTTTATGACGACAGGTGTCATTTAAGAAACAATGCTTTTCAGGGAAGTATAACATGTAATTCATTATTTGACTACATACGGACTATACAGACAGAACGATAATAGCAAAGGAGGAAATTTTAATTTCCATCTACTTATTAGATCAAGAAAAGTGCTCATATACCACAATTAGATCTAAATAAAGAATACTATGATTGTCTTTCCATGTATAAAAAAATGAAGAGAATTACTGTTTTTATTTTGAATCATGAAAAATAAGTAATAATACCACAATTATTCTACTCTGAATGCTCAGTGGGGAAAATTTTAGTATTACAAATTTAAAAATTAGGATAACTTCATAACTAAAAGTGCAAATACAGACTGTTAAGTTCTATTGGCTGAAAACAGATCTAAAAAAAGAGAAATTCTATATTCCTAGTATCTATTAAAGTTTTTTACACTTCCCATTTAAGAACGATTTGTATACTACCTGAAAAGAAAAAGATATTAATTATTCCAATTGTCTGGGAAATAATCAAACTATAGGTCAACAAAATGACGTCCATATTTAACATTTAGTATTCAAGACAGTGAGATGCTACTGATACCTATAAAGATGTAAAAATCTGAGGATTTTCAACCTAAAATGCCTTCAGTTATATAAAATTTTTTTTAAAATTAACAAAGTCCTAAAAACTTACGTATAGTCCTCAGAAAGGAAGGAAATGGCATACTAATTAGCTAAGAGATCCAAATACAAATATATGGTACAAAGATATATATGCATACCATTCTGATAAGCACAGTACTGCTTAGTTTCATCAGATATAAAAAGAAATCAAATCCTATAGTTATTTCAACTTTAACATTCTAAAGGACTCTGAGAATATGACAAAAAGGGTGATATAAAGTATATGCATATAATTAAATACTTTCAGTATTGTTCTGGATTAATTTTAATTCAGAATAATTTCAAATTTTAGTTAATTCATCTGTCCTCTTCTAGTGAAGTTGCTCAACTATAAATAGTCCATTACAAAGGAGTTTCTTGTTTTTCCAAAGCCTAAATCATTATAACTTCTTCAATTAATTAGTAGTAAAAATCAGTGGGGCATGGTGGTACACGCCTATAATCCCAGCACTTGGGAAGATAAGGCAGGAGGATCTCTATTACTTTGAGGCCAGTCTGGGCTACAAAATGAGTTCAAGGCCAGCCTGTACAGCAAGACTGTGTCTCAAAACGTAAGTAAAAATCAGTTAATATAGTATTGTGACTGTAAACATATCATCTGTTGCATACATTTTTATCTATATAAAGAAGTTAAGCTATATTGTTGAGAACATACTAAGGAATTCCAAAACCACTGCATATTAACTATTGATAGAAGTGAAAAAAATATATAAAAATCATTCTGAAACAGCAAACATTATCAAATATAAAATAATTCAATAAAGATGCTGAGGAAGTCTGAACCATAAAATATAAAAGGTCAGGGTTGATAAGCATTTTCCCCCATATTCCTGCAATGCTTCATAATTTATGTCAATACTAAATTCTAACCTGCAAAGTATTTTGAAACTGAAGATCTTATTAGCAGGAGAAAAAAGTGTATCATTCTTCAAACAGAGTAAGAAATAAGGAAGTTCAAAGGATGAGAAGATAATTCTGGATAGTATCCAAGAATTGAAATTCTACTTGACAGTCACATCTAATATATATATATATTTATATATATATAAAATATTGGGCTAAAGGGAAATGACAGGCTTGGGCCCACATACTGGGGAAACTTATTCCTTTTTGTTGTTGTTATCTTTTTGAGGCACAGTTTCACTATGTAGTTCAGGTTGGCCTTGAACTCACTTGGTAGCCCAGGCTGGCCTCAAACTTGTAGCAATCCTTCTGCCTCAGCCTCCTGAGTGCTGGGATTATAGGTGTGCACTACTACATTTGGTTCATTTCTTTTTTATTTTAAAAAAAGTTTACTCATCAGGGAAAACTGGCAACAAAATCAGGACTGTTTTAAAATATTTCTTTGCATAATGAAAAATTAATTCTTTACATGCCCCTAGAACATTTGTTTTAAATGGCTGGAGGAATAAGTCAAGAGAAAAACAGTATTTATGGACATATCATAATTATATAAAATTCAAGCCCAGTCTAATGGTACATTCCTGTAACCCCAGCACCAAGTTCGAGGGCAGCCTGTGCTACATAGTGGGTTCAATGCCAAAAAATAAATACAAATAAAAACATATATTTATATTTTTATTTATATATTTCAAACTTCTGTGTCCATAAATATCAATTTATTGGAACAAAGTTGCTCAATGATTATTATGTATGGCTGTTTTCATGGTACACATTTGAGTAGTACTGATTATTACATGTGGTTGTTTTCAGGGTACACATTTGAGTAGTGCTCAGAGACAACACAGCTGAAGTCTAAAATCTTCACTACCTGGCTCATTATAGAAAATGTTTGCTGACTCTTACTAAAAATCACTGAGAGAGCGTAAGAGACTTCTAATGGTTAATACAAACAAGCAGTTGGCGTAATTTACTGCAAGGTTTTTTCCTGATTTATGCAAGGGATTTTAAAAATCATTATTTTTATCAGTATATTTCGGCAGTACATAATTACATTCACTGTGGGAAGCTGGAACATCAGGTATCATTTTAATTTTTTTTTTTTTTTTTGTAGTACCAGGGATCAAACTCACAATGATCTCACGCTTGCCAGGCAGATACTTATGCCAAACATTTTAATTGTTTTTATGTCCCTTTCCCCTCCTCCTCTTTCTCTCTATCCATCTCTTGGTCCCCCTCCCATTTGCAAAGCATCTACTTTTTCCTGTTTCCTATTATCATTCCAGTTTCCTATCATCTAAACTTTTGTGCTTAGAATTATTTGTACTTTGGGTTTCTCATATAAGAACCTAAGCTTTTGTGTCTGATTTATTTCACTTAACATTCTGATCTCAAGGGACACTTAATTGTTCTACAAATGACTTAACATTTATCTATTCATTATACTGTTGTTTGTTTATAAATACATTTTTGTTACCCATTCATCTGTTGATAAGACATTTAGGCTGCTTCCAAATTTTAGGACCTATGAGTAGTGCAACTATAAACATGGGTATACATATATTACTGAAATAATGATGTCTTTAATTATTTTAGGAAGATATCTAAAATGGGAATAGCTGGATCAATGGAATTTCTGTTTAATTTTTAGGATTTTCCACACTGATTTCCATGTTGGTTGTACTAGATTGCATTTCCACCAAGGGTTCCTTCTGAATTCCTGCAGCCAAGCCAACACTGGTTATATTTCATATCTTGATGATTGCCAGTCTTTCTGGATTAAGATGGAATCTCAGTGTTTTAATCTGTATTTCTCGAATGGCCAGAGATGCTGAACATTTTTTCATTCATTTACTGGCTTTTTGTACTACTACTTCAAAGAAGTGTCTATTCATTTCAGTTGGCCATTTTTTTTTGACAAATTCTGTACTTTGGGGAGGTCTAATATTTTTTAGTTCTTGGGGGGGGTGGTAACCAGTAATTGAACTCGTAACCTCATGCTTGCCAAGCAGGTACTTTACACCGCTGAGCTAAACCCCCAGCCCCAATTTTTTAGTTCTTTATATATTATAGAACAGTGGTGGTGGTCTATGACATGCGTGCTATAGCCCGCTGCATTTTATCACTGAAAGCTCTAAAAGGCTGACTGTCTCTAAGGAATAGCAGGCAATTTTTTTTTTCTTTCTGTAAATTGTCTGTTGACTCTTGGTTCCTTTGCTTTGCAGAAGCTTTTAAAAAAAATTTTTTTTTTGTCTTTTTCGTTGTTATCAGTACCAGGGATGGAACTCACGACTGCCTGCTTGCAAGGCAGGCACTTATGCCGCTGAGCTAAATCCCCAGCCCCGAAGCCTTCAAATTTGATATAATCCCATTTGATGATTCTTGGTACTATTTCTTATGTCACTAGGGTTCAAAAAAACCTTGCATATGCTTTTGCCTTCAAGAGTTTTACCTGTTT